ATTGTTGGATTTCACATAAATATACACACTTGGCTCACCAACATAATTCAAATTGCACCTTAAGTGTTTTTTAGCTTCTGTTGTTAATGGTCTTGTAATTTTTTCGTTTCGCCTTCCGTGAGAGATAAATTATGTTCATAGCCCTTCAATTCAATGGCACATTTTCATTGTTTCACGTACATCACGTAAATATATTTTCATAGCTGATGATGTACGTGCGAATGAAATGAAATATTATCACTTGCTTTAACAGAAATGAGCGACTTCCATATATAAAATACCTATATTGTATAACTAATAATAAAAAAAATCCGAACCTCGGCCAGTGTAATAAAAAGGGGCTATGTTAAAGGGATTTGTGGCAAATATAGTTTTAATGTATTTGCTTAAAGCATTTTGAAAATAAAGATGTTTTGTTATACATAAGTAAATAAATACGATATAATAATAAGTGATAATATTGTACAGATTTATTCACATGGAACTATTTGAATTGGTTATAAATAACGTTAAGTTAAAATTATAAAATTATTTTGAACAAAAAGCTACGTAGAAGGAAGACATCAGGTACAAGGTAATCTAATCAGTACTACATATTTTTATATATAACAGTTCAGAAACTTCATTTGTTTATCTTATGATATATATAACATTTTCTTATTTTTGTTGTACCTCAAAGTTAAAAAAATTAAATAAAAAGTGATATTACAATTTCCTTCAGTAAAATCACACCAATTTTAATTATATTAACACACATCAACTATATATTTTCAAATTGAGAATATAAATTGCTTCTAAAATAGGATCCAATCTATACAATTTTTTAATATTGATGTTAATAATATAAAATTATAATAAAATTTTTTAAAAGTATAAGGCTTATTGTATTAGGCAAGATAATACTTTCTAATACAACGACTTCTTTCTATAGACACTGTTTTCAACATATCGGTATTCAAATAGATTAAAATTAATTTGTCAATTGAGACTAACTTAACCCTGTTGTCAAAACAAACTCCCTCTTCAGAATAGAATTTACAATATTCCAGCGGTAATGCGTGTCTGTCAGAAGAGGTGACTAATATCTATTAGTCTCCACCTTGTACTGTTTGCGGTATCCGATAAGAGATGAATATCTAGGGTTAGAGCCCGCAGATTGGCCTCTTAATCAACTTCTACAGTTACGGGGACAAAATGCGTTGCATTTTAAATGTTAATGTAAATCCAGTAAATGTGTTCATTTACTTTTATTTACTATGGAGTTGCATTTTCCAACTAGGTGATTCAAAGAACAGCACAGGTATTAGATAGCCTACACTTCCCATCAAGGAGAAAACTATATCCAAACGTACAGCTTCAATTGGCACTAACAAAGTTCCTTGAAATTCCAATGAAGCATTTATTGACGCATTATACCGTTACTTAGTTAAGAGCATTATGGTATCACGGCAGGTAATCATGTTAAAAACTCTGGGTTCTGTTTAGACAACCCTTATAGAATATTACTACTACACCAAACTAACCAACACTATTCTTTCATTTAATGTTTAAATATTGTCTACACAATTATATTAAGTATTTATATATGTACTTAAAAAAATATTAAGTAAAACATGCTTACAAAGTGCAACTTTATGTGCTTTAACGCTTGTGCCTTACTAGCTTTTGTTTCAATGAGGCGGTGCCACATGTTGTATTGTTAAAGAAACCAACGAGTTATTAAAGAAAGTGATTGTTAACTATATGGTCCCCAGAAATGAAGCTTTGACGCGATGTCCCGATCTCTTGATTTACAACCGGTGAGGCATTTTTTTGGTTAAAGTTGGTGTACTCATTGATCGATGTGGACAAGGCTGGAACTATTTCAATCTTCGGTGTGCAACAGGACATAACATTAAGATATAGTTTTAAATATTTTTCCGTAACGGCTTATTGATCAAAATAGTAATTGGTGACTATTGCTTTAAAATTACGAATAAATAGAAGAAAAAAAAAGTATTTAAGTTTTTCGCTCAAATTGAGTTTGCATTTCTTCAATTTAAAAGCCTAAAGATCCTAAAACGTACACTTTATAAATTAAATACTTAATTTAGTAGAATTTGCTACATACTAAATTGTCTGCTTCGAGAATCGAATTAATTTTTAGAACAATATTCATCTATTACAATCTCGTGATCAGAATATTTAAAAAATCAGTCGAAATTTTAAGAATTGCAAAAAATCTTTAGTTTTACTCCTAATGTGCATTTTTAAATCAGATACATTCAATATGAATATTTTATTTAAATAAATAAAATAGTATAATGACTAAAAATTTATTTTCGGCATGACAATAATTGACAATAATTTAAAAATGTACTTTAAAGAAAATTTAAAAAAATTCACTTACAACTTTTCAGACTACCTACATACCTGTAAATAATTTTCTATACCATAAAAACTATTGAAATTCTCACATAAAAAAGAATATAAATAATGGGGTCGAGGTCACTGTGGTTCGTATATCAATAGAGAAAGAAAAAATCTTTACTTATATATGTATGAAGATACATATCCACGCGTACGTGTATAATATACGAGAACATTAGAATGTTTAGATACATATTATACTCACATATGGCAGCTCTAAAAATGTGAATATACTTTTATGTTCTTGCCATATTTTTCGCTTTTACTTCGTCAGAGATTTCACTTTTTACTTATTTTTATAAATCCTTATGAAACGGGATATGAAGCATTAGCTTTGTTCATAAAGACATATGAAAACATCAGCAGCAATGTACTTTTAAATATGACAGGACAATATTATTTTTTTATATACGACAAACAGACCACAGTTACAAAGGTTTATGCATAAATAATATAAATGTTAAAAGGAGGTGCACTCTAGAATATTACAGATGTTCGGCAAAAGTTTATGATACCGAAATGAAATGATATATCAAAAATACTGTTTAAATAAGAATTTGGTAATTTTTATTTGAGTTCTGTATGTTCTTTTGTGTAAACTTGGAAAAAAAACATCAACCCACACAAAGCACTTAATTTTAAATTAACTTTTATTTACCTTTTTTTGATATTTTCCAACATTTTTTTTTCTTTATATAAGTGGTACAAAATTAAGTACTTTTTATTTAAGTTACTTAAATCAAAAATGAGAAAAAAGTTTAAAGAACATTTCAGAATAAAATAAGAAATAATTCTGTATTAGTTGGTCACTTCTGTTGATTCTTGAAGAAATAAAACTTTTAAGAAAATATAATATTTAGAAAATAACTAATTTGTCATTCTTAAGGTTACACTCACTTGGGTTTCTGGTTATAAGGATATCTCGGGCGATTGTAGGGTTAATCAGTTTGCCAAGCTAGGAACTCTTCGCCCTGACATTAACTTCTCAGATATTGGCATTCCACTTGCTGCAGTGAAATTGCAAATTAAACAAAAATACCTGAGCATAGCCAAGCAATACTGGGCTGATGAACCCCACTGTCAAATATCCACGTTGACTTGGTCTACGTGGCTGCTTCAAATAAGGCGAAATCAGCTCAGCACGACGGGACAATGTGAAATAGGGAGGCATGTTATGAGACTGGGCTACAATGACTTTTGTTGAAGCTTTAGCTCTGAAGATGAGAAGGAGACCGTGCTCCAACTCATGTGTCAGTGTCCTTCTTTAGCTAGGAGAAGATCAAAAATCTTCTGGGCTTCTTTTCTCACTGACCTGACCGAGCTGTCAGGTTCCTGTAATGTTAGGAACCTAGCCAAGTTTATAGAACTGTCAGGTTGGTTTTCCCTTACCTATTGGGGGAGTCGTTATCCTTTTCTGTTTCAATATACAGAAAAAGGCCATTATTTGAGCTCAAATGTTTTACATATAGTTTTACGCAAAACTTCAACTAATCATAAAAGAAATAGCTTCTATATTGAATATCATAATAATAACTTACCTGATTATGTTTTTGAAAAATAAAAAATTATACGTAATCATCGTATATAACGTCTTATAAACAGATATAAATACTGATACCTGCAACAGTAGAAATAAATGTTGTTTCTGTACTTTTGTGTTGATAACATGGTATATAACAATATCATTTAACTCGAAAAAGCCAATTTCTTCGAAGAGTAAGAAGAGTCTTTGCTTCTACAAAAAAAATAGTATTAAAATTTAACAATTAAAAATAAAATTATAAATAATTAATTCAATTATTCCACAACTGGCTTATGATTTTATTTTAATAAACCACAACATGTAAATTCGTTAATGAACTTTTATAGCAAATTAATAAAATTCTAAGTTGGAACATACAAGTTAAGTACGGTCAGTTTGCTTCTGAACACTGACTCTGAACTTCAGATTTGGCAGGACACAAGTACAACCCTTGATACTTGCAGTCTCAAAAATTTATTTACGAATAATTAAATATAAGAAATAATTCTAAGATCACTGATGATGAGTATTTGACATTACTCGAAACAGCTGTATGGTTAGCTAAAAATTCAATTATATTAATTAATTGAATAATAAAATTTCTCTTCTCACTGAAAAAGTTTTTAATTTTTAACTACATAAATAACAAATACTCTTACTGTCTTATTATCAAAACTCTCAATTCTATAAATTTTTATAAAAAGTTAAGTAAAATATAAAATCACCAATAAAAATATTCATTTTACATTTATAATGAATTTTTATCTTTTTACAATATTAATTTACTAATAATGTAATATTCATTATGGTTTATTCATTATGGAAGTGCCAATAAGTACTTTTGGAGTAAAATTTATTCGTAATTTGCAAAATATTCATTTTAGCGAAATAAAATTTCCAAACTTAAATTCTGAAATTTTTAATTTAAAAAATTTGTTTGTAATAATAAAAAAATTGCAACAAAAATAAACTTTTATATTCGATTTACATTTTATTATTACATACGAGTATCTAACTAACTGTTTTATTAAAGTTTGTTATATGTGTTTTTTTTCTTTAATTAAAACAGAAACGATTTCCGGCTGATAACTTTGCTGAGTGGAACAACGGACATCCGCTGGGGTTGCGAACAGTTCATGCATATGTGTTAGTATTCGATATGGGAAACCTGGAAACATTTCAGGTGAGTGGGCCTTAATTTGCAATTAAATAGCTTGTTTTTTTAAAACTACACAAACATTTTAAAATGATTTTTATTTATAAATAAATTTATTTCCTTTATTTACTCAGTTTTGTTTTGTTTCAAATGCTCTGAAAATGTTATTGAGATTGTATCCTTTTTAATATAAAAGGACAATTAATTTAAATGGATTATAGTTTATTTAAATTGAATTTAAATTAATAAGTGGCTGTTTTTAAAGTTAATTGATTTTGATTATTCATTTATGCTAATTAAAGCTTTTTGCAAAGAATTTAAAAATACCATACATGTATTCGTCATCACAATGTCATAACAATTAATGTTGTGATAAAGAAAATGTTAATGTTTTTTAACGTAACTTAAGGGTAATTTTTCAATCAAACTCTGCCATTGCAGATCATAATCTACTTCAAGATCTTTCTTGTGCACAAATGATTAACTATCCCATTACAACCAAAGATATTGTTTAGCCATCTTTTAATTTCGGTCATTTCCAACCGAGTGCAACGTAATTGATTATAATATTTCACAAATTAGAGTAAAACTTTACATCACATTCTCATATAGACCCATCAGTCCTTTGCCTAACTAAGCTCTTTGAGAAAACAAATTTATTGAAACAGTCGCTATTTTTGAATGATCAATTTATTACCTTTAAACATAGTCCCGTGCTAGAGAGTTGTCTTCAAAACAGATATTCAGTGTAAAGTACAAATCACATACCTCTGCAAATTGCATTAAAATATGTTTCTAGTTTTTTTATCTATATATTCTTTTTAAGTAAACCTTTAATATTTTATTTACTTACTTACTGCGGTCCTTCTCTCCTAAGTGGAGCATAGGGCCTCAAATCTTTTAACCTTTAACATTTAGCTGTTGGTAATAAAATTATTTTAAAAAAATCTGATATACATTTTTTGAGTATAGCTTTGAAAACTTTATTAAGAAATGCTCGATTTTTAGTCGGCACTTTTACTAATACCATAAAAGTTATTATAACTTCCAAAGTCTTCCAAAGTGAGCAAAACGCGACAAAAGTTGTCCACGGATGAAGCATATCCAAGTAAGTTATCGCATGTTTTTTCAGAAAATTCGATACTGTCGCAACTGTACCACTTGAACAACCTAAAAGGCTGAAGACTGAATGGTACACAAACATATGCTTGCCGGAAGTCTTTGGAAAATTGAGGATAACCAACCGTACCACAACAATGAGAGCTGTGTGAAAACCCAGCTCAAATAAAAAAGTTTTGGAACGCTCTAAACGTTGAATTGATCACTCATCCGCCTTACAGTTCCGACTTGGCACCCAATGAGTTCTTGTTCCCAAAAGGTAAAAAAAAATGCGTGACGGAATGACAAAACTGTGTCGAAAATCGATTTAATCGAATGCAAAAATGTATTGATCATCATTCAGAATACTTCGAAAAATAATAAAATAATTTATACGGATTAACCTCTGTATTTTCTATGTTAGCCGCAGGACTTAAAAGGCGGTCTTTGTATTATAGTTTTTAAGATATCTAAAAAAAACGATGGGTTGGACATATTTAGATACGTTCCATTAGACTTTCAGAATACAAAAAACCATATTAAATACTATGTTTAAAGATCGAAATTGTATTGGCAAGTTTTGATTCTGCATTACTTTACGGTGGGCTTTCAATCACATTATTAATTTAGAGGGGTTTTTGAATAACAAAGAAAGAAATAAAGGACAAACACAAAAATTTATTTTAATTTTTTATTGAAGTTTGGCTGACCATACAACGCTGTTTCGAGTATTGCCAAGTACTCTTCATCAGTGGTCTTTGGAAATAATCGAATTTTATTTAATTAGTTTATAGTCCGTATATAATTTGTTTGGACTGCAAGTGCCAGGCTTAGAACTCGTGCCTGTCAAATTAGAAGCGATGACTAATCGTGTTTATCCACAAGAAGCCAAGGCTGCACAAACTTTCAATGCTCAAGTTCCAAGTTTTATTGTCACTTATTTTTATTTTAATTAGTGACACCAACTAAAGCACTTGCCGTGCTTTTAAATTAGAACGAGCTTATAAACTACAGCTTTATTTTTGGAAACACAAGTTCAACGAATTGAAAGTTAACTTTTGGGTTCGCCTATTCTTTATTTTTTCAAAGCTACTCTTTTTGTAGGGACATTTTGTAATGCATATTGTTTTACTTACTATATGTACTATATGTATATATTACTATATGTATATGTATTAATAATTAATAAATTTTAATCACATTGATAAAGTTTACTTTTATTTAATTATTACTATTTTTTTATTTATATATTGTAATTATTTAGTAATTGCGGTTATTTAATTTAATATTAATTTTTAAGATTTTTATTTATTTATCTCAAACATAACATTTAGTTTAAAATTTAAAGATCTATATAAAAACCCGCTGTTTTATTTTAACACCATTTTCACCTTTTCACATTGTTAGTGTATAATAAAATTAATTTAATATTATAAAACAATTTTAAATTTTAATTAATGCTATCAGTACTGTCGCTCGATGCGAGACCAAATTTTGGACAGCTTCAGCCATCGTGACTTTAGCATAATTGTAGTTGGCAACAAGTACGACACAATTACCGAAACTCAAGCAAACTCCCAGGTAAAAATTTTAATTAAAATAAACAAACAAGCAAACAAAACAAGTTTAGCAAATTTAATTAAAATAACATTTTGTTTCCAAAATAATATTTTTAAATAATTTATTAATTTATTTTGGGAAACTTCAAAATAGGAGCTGAAAGATATTTCCACTTTGGTGCGCAAACACTGGCGTTGTGGCTACGTCGAGTGCTCGGCACAGTAAGTAAACACTTTTAACGACTGCAACTTTTTATTTTGAAACAAAGATTTGTAAATTTCATTGAATATATAGTTTTAATTGACAAAAATAAAAAATAAGTAATCAAAAACGACACTTTCGAACTATCTCTCTAGATTCAACTACAAAATAGGAGATGTCTTTCGGGAGTTGATGGGTTGTACTAGTACGGGCGGCATTGTCGGTACTGAGTTCTCACAATCAAATAGAAACAAAGGACGCTGTACAATACTTTAGCAATTTCTGCATAAGTTTTTTAATCAAACTTTTTAGAAATGAGCTGTAACGTGATTTATACGCATTAATTAAGATAATTACGACATATAACGATACTAAGTACTGTAGTTAAAAAATATTATAAATAAAAAAAGTAGAATTTAAACAAACGCTGCAATTTGAACCGTAAAAGAGAACACAAATTTCACTATAATAATCAAAACAATAAATAAGTATTATATCTTATTAAGATATTTATTATTATTAATGTTATTATTATCTTATTAAGACAAAAATCTTATTAAGATGTCACTTATATATAGATATTTTTTTGATAATAAGTTTAAAAGTTCTTTAAAATGTGTAATTGTTAATTTCAAATAAAAACAATAATCGCGTATATGAAACTAAGACCTTTATATAACATTCGAAAATTTCAACATTAGAAGGAATTAAAATTGAATGCTAAGTTATTATAAATATTCATTTTTTAATTACTGAACTTATATTAATTATCTTATAATTAATTTATGTATTTTTTTATTCACAATTAATTGATATAACGACCAATTTACAATAAGTTTTATATTATTACCGGACTTGGGTTGTTTAATTAATGCATAAAATTATAAAAAAAAATTTAAAAAAAAAATTGAATTTATTAATTTATGTTAAATATAATTAATATATTAAAACTTTCACAGCAAATTAAAAGTCAAGTATGACTTTGGGTCAGTTGGTTAAGAAGCGCTGGTACTTGCAGTCTCAAAAAAATTATTTACAAATAATTAAATGCAAAAATTATTTTCAAGACCACTGATGATGAGTATTTGGCAATACTCGAAACAGCTGTATGGTCAGCCAAAAAATGACTTAAATAAAATAATATAAAAAAAATGAATTTTTGTTGTTATAGTTCACTACTTTTTAGAAGCCTGTTTAAAAAAAGTTTTTTATAATTTTATGTGTTAAATAAACAACCTAAGCCTGGTAATAATCAAAAAACTTTTTTTATTGACACATTATCAACAATACTTCTTACTATATTTTTTGATATAACATTTGTATGGATTGGTACTTATATAGAATGCTAAACTTCAGTTCACTGCCTCACTCACTACTAAATGAGTAGATTTTTCTTGTTTAATTTGTGATTTTAAAAGATAATTCAACTTATTTATTTGAAAATTAAAAAAATTCGAAAACATTGTAGTTCATTTTAAAATACCTCAATGTTAATTTTTTTAAAATAATATACATATATTATTAAAATGGAGAATAATACACAACAACTTATATGATGAATAATCCTAAAAAAATGCAGACTTTGAGTACTATTAATAAACCATTCAACATTGGTCCATAACTTTGATTCAAGATCTCACACCTCACTAGGTTAAATTCAAGCCTAATGTAGGTGCTGCACTAGTTTCTTACCTATCTCAAGGCACGAACAGATAATATTGGCGTATATTTTACACTGCATTTTACAGAATCTGGAGCTGTCAAATGTTTTTTAGTCCCATTTTCGAGAGCTGTTTTTGGTTCAATTTTTAATAACCTCAAGATAAGACACTACTATACTACCTGTTATCATTATATAGATATATACACACTTGCGACAGCTTAAAGCTTAAACATTTTTCAATGCACCGAAAGCGTTTAACCACTAACTCGAGGCTAACTTTACGTTCAGTAAAACTCGAGGCTTAACATTTGTTTTGGTTTTGTTTAATTTTATAAAAGATTTGTCTTACTGGTCAAAACATATTGAAGATATATAATCACACTTTTCTCCTCCGCCCTCCTGTATGAAATTATTTGCAAGCTTCAAGTTGTCTCTAGTGAGTTGTCTCTAAACTCATTATACTCGCCGTATTCATTAACATCATTTCGGCTACATTAATCACTTTTTTAGTACTGTAAAGTATCTAAATGTTGTCGAATGACTGTAGAAATCTATATATAAGTAGTATGCAGTAGTAGTATCTACAAAAGCAGTATTATTATTATTATTATTATTATTATTATTAAAACTATTGTCGTGAAATCACCCAACTGCCCGCACTGTGGCCAGAAGAGTTCTATTGTACCAAATTCCACCTTTAATTATACAAAGCTTTAAAACTTTGTAAATAAAATTCAAAACTATATCTGGAGAAAAGCTCTTAATCTGTTCTGGTGACAGAAACACTTATGTGCGTTGTTAAAGCTAACCAATCGCAAAGAGTATGCATAGTTGTTTTCTCATATTCGAGGCATGATCTGCATTCCGAATTAGCAGATAATCAAAGTTTATATAGGTGATATATTAGACCAAAATGACCTATAATGAAAGCCGTTAGCAAAAGCTAATTATCTTGCAAAAAGCAGTAACTATTACATCTATGGCGCTTAGATACATAATGACACTTTGATTATCTCAACGCCTTTTACAATTTATATAATTATATGTATTCAATAATTATTGCATAGGTGTATAATAAACTCTATGTGTTATTGTTGGTAATTAACAACTTTTCGTTAACAATTTTTCAGTAATAAAAACTGGGTTTAAGTAGTGCCAATTTCTATTAGTTTTTTTTAAGTTTGAAATAATGGAATTAAATTTTTCAGAATTTTAAAGCTCATAAATATCAGATCCCTATTTTTGGAATATTATAAAGCTTTAAAATAAACATTCAATAAAAAATCATACATACCACATACCACAGAAATCGAGTGCAAATGTTTATATACGCAAATGCATACATGACATGAGCATATATTCATATATCATGCGAAGGCATATCGTACTCATATCACTTTTTATCGCCTTCTATATAAACACAGAACGTTTATTTATGCGTTGACATTTGCGTTTTTGCAATTTTAACATATTTGAAAATTCACACATATTCATACTTTTAGTTTCGGAAAGAACATCCTTTACGAATGTATCTTTATTTTTAACCCACAATTTTGTTTTTCAACATTTTTTAATTTTTTTTCATAGACTATTTTAGTTTTTGATGACTTTGCATTTATTATATAAGAACACTTATATTTCTTCTAAAACACTGTTGAGTCTATGAATCTCTTACGGTTAAGGTCATGAAAAAATAGACTTCAATTTAAATCTAGAAAATTTTTCTTTAAATATAGATATCTTATTATATATATTTTACATATAATTTTTATAAAATGCATGATTTATGCATTCAATAATTTTAATTATTTACTTTAAAACACTTTTGGGATTAAATTTGAAAAATTTATATGTGTTGATCCATTAAGTTTTATTTAAAAAAAAATCTAAGGAAAAGAAATTTAACCCACCATAATTTACAATATTATACTTTACATCCAAAAATATAAAATAAAAAACTATAGATAAAATTATTAAATGAAATACATTAAACATATTTTATAGATATACCTACATACTAAACTAAAACTATAAAAATAGGAAATAATACAAAATACTTAAAATTAAAGAAAATATAGGAGCAAGTTGGTTATATTCAATTTAAAATATAGTAGATAGTACTCCTTTAACTTAACGTTTATTATTAAGGATTAAAATACTAACACTTTAAACTCATTAGTAATCAGAAACAGAAACCTAACAGGAAGCATGTTAACTTTCATTAAGCTTGATGTACAGCTAAAACGACAAAAAACGTGCATTCAGACCAACCAGTGAACGTTCCTTAATATGATCTTATATATTTTACAACCCCAATAGGCACGTATGTATTTTTGATGCAAATGAGCGGTATTAATCTAAAACACAAATGATCTGTGCCAGTTTTAGTCTCTTTGCTTCATTAGAAGGCTTTATACCTATTGTTGATATTATTACGAAAACCGACAACGGTACAACGGCATAAATTATAAGATCATTGGAACGATCTATAAAGAAAATTATCTTATGGATTATGTTTCCATACTATATTTAGCTCACTGTTCTGCGCATGTACGTACTGGACACCTGTTTATTATTTTTACTTGTTTAAAAAGTATTATTACTTTTAACAAAAAACTAATGAAAGACTCTAACTTTAAACTAAATGTATAGCATCCCTAGGAGTATGCAATCTCAACGAAACAATTCTACCGACACCGGTCTTGGTCTCATAAAACTCGTGCGAACCAAGAATGATTAAAAAATCATGTTCCACATTTCATTTCGTCGACACAATGGCTTTCGAATTCCCCAGATACAAATCCGATGGACTATTCCATCCGGGCCATTTTAAAAATCAAGGTAGGGAATAAAAAATATGCCAATATGGTTGTACTGAAGAAAGCCATTGTTCAGAAATGAGTCAAAACACTGGACGATCACACTCGTGAAGCATGCAACTCATTTTTTAACCGTTTGTAGGCCATAGTCAAGGCTTTTCCCACATATTTAAACTGTTTTTTTGTCCACCACAATAGTGATTGGAAACGCTGCCTGTACTATTATAACGATTTATGGTACGACACACGACTTTGAGGTGTTTGAACTCACGAATACTAGGTGGTTGTGATTTTCCAGCCAAATATAACGCAGTTACACTATTACGTTTGAACTCCATTTCGAATAACTTTTGTTCTATAAAACTCTAAATGCAAATGCTTGTGGTAGCTAGTAAACAATATAGTTGACAATATCAGTTTGACAGATATACCTGCGTCTAGTTGGTAACACTTCAATAACCTAATCCTATACAAAGGAATTACAAAAGAGGATTGTGCAATGTCATCTAAAAAGCAGTTAAGAACTGGAGGGACATGTATGTTATGGTAAGCAGTAAATCACTGCTCACTGCAGTAATCTGCAGTAAGCAGATTAATCGGTACTAAGTATATCGTTTGGAAAGTTATGGCATATGGAAAGTATCGACAAATTTGAAGTCAAATGGTTAATTGAAAATAAATTATTTAACCACTTAACATGAATAACAGAAATGGGGTAATATTTATCATTAGGTTAATATGACCACGTAACACTCTTCTTTGAAACGTCTGGAGATATTCCATCTAAGCAAAGAACAATTGGTTTAAGAAAATTAAACCAATATGTTGTATTTAAATCAGTTAAAAATC